AACCTAGCAATTTCATAAAATGGCTTGAGTGATTACTACAAATACACCCTTATCAACCTTTTTTTTTGAGACTTACATAAATTCTTTTCTTTACATAAACGTTCTGGAGATCCGGTAAGTTTTAAATAGCTGTAATCAACTTGTTTGCACTGGCCATCTGGGGATATTACTCATAAAACTACATCAAGAGAACAACAAAAAGCACAAAAGGCACGCATATCTAATTGGCTGTTGACAGCCGATGACCATGTTCAGTGTTCAGCCACGTTCCAACACTGTCATCCAACAAGCTCGTTGACCACCCACACATCAGCGCTTTGCTCCACTGTGGGACAAATGAAAAAAACATGTGGACAAAGAAGTCATGTAGCATGTATATATATATTTATATATTTTAAACAAATGTATGCCCTATTGTTTCCTTTGTCTTTGTGATGTGAAATACTGAATACACGTTAACAAGAAGTTTCAGGATACCAGAGCATTGTCTATAATAATGTAGTAGCTGCAACATCCATGTTAAGAGGTCAAAAATCTAATTATTGCTGAATTTGTTCTAGGACTATGGTGAACTCCAGCAATTTTATGCATCAAAGTGTGTTTTCAAGTATACTACGTGAAAAATGTGAAGTCTTATGAGGAGTTGTCAGAAAAGTTCCAGGACTGGTGTCACAAAAGATATATTTCAAATCCAAACTACAAACCACCAGTTTTCCCCTTCAGATGATCAACCAGCACGTCTACAAAGAGATCCTGCGGCATTTGCTTCATTCAGTGCACGAGAAGAGGCGAGTGTTGGTGTAGGACAAGTCGTGGCTGCTTCACCATGACGACACAGCTGCTCACAATGCCCTGAGCATCCGACATTTCCTGGCTGAGAAGAATATCTCTGTGTTGGAGCAACCTCCCTACTCACCCCACCTGGCTACGTGGGATTTCTTCCTCTTCCCCAGGCTCAAGGGGGTCATCAAGGGGACCTGTTTTGAAGACATGGATGACATTAAGATGGCTGTAACGATGGAGCTGAGGAGGATCCTGAAAGAATCCTTCCAGGAGTGCATGGCAGTGAAGGCTGGGAAAGTGTGTTAGACTCCAGGGAGATTACTTTGAAGGGGAAAACTTGTAGTTTGTAGTTCGGATTTGAAATACATCTTTTGTGACACCAGTCCTGAAACTTTTCTGACACACCTGTGTCCCTACATTGGTTGAGTCTGAAGAGTACAAGCTTGAAAATGCAAATGTCTGAGAAAGTTGAGTTACAAAGAAGTGAGCTAACCAGACCTACGACTCATCTCTGCTTAAGGCTGCAGGCTACATTAGCTGCTAATAGCATAGCAAATCTGAATTGCTGTGGCAAATGAGTTGCATTGTGGGTAATGTAACCACTAGGCTTTGAGGAGGAAGATGATTGTGTGGAAAACAAAAGACAAAAACAGTTTGTTTATATTATTTGTTGCTTTACTGCTGCTCTATTTCAGCCAACCAATCCTATCTTTGATGGGGCAGAACTCATCATACTGGTAACCCAGAAAATAGAAATAAAGCTTCAGACATGTTGTGAAAGGGTTGTATTTTACCCAAACTGTGCCATTTTTCGAAACCAAACCAAGTAATTTTGGTGCATAAACTTAACCGAGCTTCTACAAGTAGTTATCATTGTGAAAGTGTCAACCAAGCTTGATCTTTCCCAAACCCTAACCGCATAGTTTTGGTGCCTAAAGCTAACCAAACAGCGACTGAAAACCGACATTAAACAATGAGTAAAAACAAAACTTGAAGAATAATGATCCGGCACAGCTTAATTCCAGCTGCTGACTTATCCCACTATCCTGCAGCCGTATATGGACTTTGTGGCTCCTTCAAACTGGAACTCTTTCCTACTACATTGCACTTTTGGCCGTCGGGGAGAAAACATGTTTTTTCAAAGTGTAAATAGGAATTCATGAAGAGTTCAGTTGTATAGGAACGTAATTTTTGGGAGACAGGGTTGAGCATTTCCCCATCTTCACCCCAGGCTCCCACTGGGGTGGTAAAAACCTGCAGGCTCTGAGTGTATGTTCCCCTAAGGAGAACTTATCATCACTCCCCACTCCCTGTTGTGCGGCGCTTGATGTTTCCCTGTGGGGAGTGACGAGATCAGAAGTGTGTAGTTTGTGCCCCTTGTGTTTCAAATGAGTTTTAGGTTCACCTAGACACATGCATGTTTGTTTAAAACAAAGCGATAATTCCCTCACAACTAAATTTATACTTAACCCATCCCACTCCCTTCTGAGGGCATTGAACCACCACACCAGACTGTGTCATTATAAAGTTGATGAATCTAGGCCCATTTCCAAAATCTACAACAGCTAAATCAATCATGTCATTCATAGTTTTCTGCATGACAAGCACTCAAACTTTTGAAACTTTGATTCCATGCATATTTATTTGCACAGTGATTTTTTAGTCAGATTCAAGACAAAACAGTACCACACAACACTATTCATAGCTCTGCATACTCCTGGTGTTAACTGACAAAATGCAGGTCCGGGTCTATATTTTACCAGACAGTAGTTATATTAGAGCTTTCTCGCTTCCTTCATGCACGTACACCTTGTCGGCGTACGGCTGAAGTCGTGCTCTGGAGTGGATCCAGTGCTTAGTCGGCCTTCACTGATGACAGATGCTTAATGACATACATGTTTGTTCTGCCAGGGCAAAAATGCCCTTTCATGGCAATTCATGCACAGCTACGCCAGATTGTGACTTCAAACGCTGTTGAATATAGATGGATCGGCCGTCGTTGGGAAAGTCCGTCCTTGCAAAGGCTTCAAAGTCCAAATATTTAGTCTCTATTGTTAGTGACACGCTGTTAAAGCAGCAAAGTTTAGAAAGTGAATGTGGTAGTAATAGCAGTCACCTCCACGCTCAAATGCTCATATCTGCTTTTGTTTGCAGTCTTTTTTTTCTTCTGTACACTCATGCAGAAAGTAAATGTAAACCTCTCTGCCTCCCTGCATTTCTTTGTCTTCGCTGAGGTTTTGGCTGTTCTCTGTCCCGCTGGTGGTTTGTAGCAGAACTATCACTCTGGATAGAAGGCTTCCTCATGCATTTGAGCAAAACCAGGTCTTGTCTGGAGGGAAAAAAAAACAAAACTCTGCTGTCTCCTAAATTCTTGCTTCTTTGCTTTAGCAACCATTTATGCACAAACTGTTGTTGGATGCCATCAGCCCATAAAGTAGTCTGTGTAGCATCGCCACAAACACAGCCACCCTTGTTAAACCATCACCGTTAATTTGAAATGTTAACAGAGGTGTCATCTTTAAAGTGCTTTAGAGAATGATTTGGCCTTCTTTTCGACACACATCACCTCTCTGGCATGCAGATTGCTGTGCAGAGGTCTAAGTTAATGGACAATTTAACTGATGAGCAATCTGAGGTTGAGTTTTCGATTCTGATTTGATTATAACTCAAAAATGATTTGTAGCTTTTTTCTGACATTTTTATTTTTCATTTCAACTTTTGCACCCAGTAAATTATAGCCATTTTTTTGATTATGGTGTCATCTGTCACCATCCATCCATACAGCATAATGCATTAAACATTCCGCATGCTGTTGCAGAATGTTTTTCCTCTGGCCTCCGTTCAAGAAGAAGGAGAAAATGTCTAGGTGAGTTGAGCGGTGTCTCTGCAGCGGAGACAGCTGTAAAACGCATTGATTTGATAAATAAGTTAAGCTACGCTGTTACTTTAAGAGGTCTGTGTTTGCTGCATCCACACTTAAAATCAAATTAAGTGCTTTGCTCTCCCCCCTCTTGCTCTACAAGGACTGTTAACAACACAATGGAATGCAAATTGGTCTCCATTTAAATAGAGGGATTTCACACCTTTGACCTTATCATGAAACGGGGCAAGGCCAGGAGGAGATGGACACTTGGGGATGAGCAAATTGACTTTAGCCTGTAGTGTTTAATTAGGTTGGATAAAGAAGCACTTCCCCAATGGCTGCTTGTCCAGCAAGCACAAACAGAACTCTATTAGATCCCCAACCCCCTTTTGATAAGATAATGTACCCAAGAACTCCTGAAGAACGCTTGTCAGATGTAAATTAGTAGGTACCTCACACTTTTGTCCTGTAGGAATAGCCACCTTAATACAGGAGAAACACTTTTCCCTCATTTTATTCCAGAGGCTTATTTTCTGGATCCTCAAGGCCTCACTGTGCAACAAGAAAAGAAAGCCCCAGAAATGGTTTGTGCCTCTTGACATTACATTTGAATCACAAAGTAAGATTCAGAACAACCTTAAGGTAAATGCAGAAGCCTCAAAGACACTTGAAACCTCCAGATGCAAGATGAAAAGGAAGTTTATTCACTCCTTTACATACTTTTTTTTTTTTTTTTGCTAATTCAAACAAAGCCAAGAGACATTTTATGACCTTTTAAAAAATTACATGCCTATTTTGTACAAATAGAGCTTGGATATTTAGTCACAACTGCAACTTTTCGACATCTTTAGAGTGCAGAAGATGAAACACTTCATGCAGATAGCTACAGTAGATATGTCTGGGTTTTTTTTTTTTTTTAGAGAAATTGCTGCTCAGTTCTGGGACTTGAATGCAACAGTAAGAATGAGAGCTCACCGAGGAGAGATACTTAATACAAATGACATTAGAATTTGGGAACTCTCAGGAAACTGGAATGAAAACACATTGAACAGTCTATGCTACCAACATTCTTCTGCACAAGAATGTGGACAAAAGTTATACATAAACCACAATCCAGGAGTTACAGTTCACATATCCACGTTTCTGTTATTTTTTTTTTATTCATTTATTTATTTATTTTTTGCACTGACAACGGAAGCGCAAGCAGGGGAGTAAAAGAGAGTGGAAGGGAGGCTCCTGGAGAGTTTTTTACACACAGGGTAATTAAGCGCTTTGACTGACAGCAGAGTGCCAAAAGGCGCAGACGCACTCCGATTGGCCGGAGCGCACTTTACAATCCCCTCTTGTTTCCAAGCCGTGGCGCAGGCAGAGCACTTTACCTCCCCAAACTCTCGCAGGAGACACAGCAGACGCAGCAGAGCCAGAGGAGCGCGGCGGGGCTGCAGCCAGAGGAGACTCACACTGTGGACTTTACAGCAGCGCTCTGCCCTTTTCCTGCACTCTTCACACTTTGAATTTCTTCATGAAGTGAGTGTCGAGGCGCACTGTGGGTTGCATTCATTTTTATTGTTGCAAAGAGAGAGAGAGAACAAAACAACAACATGAGGTCTACTTCTGAATCTTTCTGGAGGATGATCCGTCTGGCTGTGACACTGGCGCTCATGTCAGCGTGCACGGCGTCAGAGTACGAGTACCTGAGCTGGAAGTCGGACGTGTACAACGGCGGCCGCAGCTACGGCAAGCCTCCCCAGTGCGTGGACATCCCGGACGACCTGCGGCTCTGTCACAACGTGGGCTACAACCAGATGCTGCTGCCCAACCTGCTGGAGCACGAAACCATGGCCGAGGTGAAGCAGCAGGCCAGCAGCTGGGTGCCCCTGGTGCACAAGAACTGCCACCCGGGCACGCAGGTCTTCCTCTGTTCGCTCTTTGCGCCCGTGTGCCTGGAGCGGCCCATCTTCCCGTGCCGCTGGCTGTGCGAGGCCGTGCGGGACGGCTGCACTCCGATCATGGGGGCGTTCGGCTTCCCCTGGCCGGAGATGCTCACCTGTGACAAGTTCCCCCAAGACGACGTGTGCATTGCCATGACGCAGCCCAACGCCACCGAGGCCACCAAGCCCACAGGTCAGTCACTGCGCGTCCACACGCACGCGGTTACGCACCTGCGGTTATCCAGCCAGGTCAGGGCACAGTTTGGTGGAAGTGCAGCTCAATACCTGGTAGCCTCATGAAAGTAGGGATTTATTTGTGGACTGTTGTTGGGACTAGAATTGATTCATCTGCTGATTATAAAAGGAAAGTTTTGCATATTTTTCCTATTTGGATTCTGGTCTATAAAATGCCCCAAAATAAATTTTTAAAAAGTGTAGAAATAACTAACAGTAATTGCTAAAGCCCAGGGCTTAACTGGAATCACATAGAAATTGAGGTCATGAGCCCAAGCACTGCAATAACCCACAAACCCATTTCTCTAAAACAACAAGAAAGGAAAAGAGCAGACCTGTCATTAAAATATGTTTTTTATTATTAAAAAAGCTGTTTTATATTTTTTGTAATCTCACCTAATATTCCTAGTATTAAGTTGAAATGTTTTCACTCATTCTCCACATGATGAGGTATTAAAAGTTGTCCAATTTAAATATGAAAGCGTAAGAAATATTGCATGTGATAAAAATAACCGTCATGTGCAAATCATTTTAGAATGTAAAATTCCCTACATTTTTCTAACCCCCCCACCCCACTCCCCCACCCCCCTAACATTTCTTGAAAAAATATGCACAGCATGACCTCAGTATAGCTGCGGTGAAGCTCTGAAATAGTTTGTTATCACCAGTCCAAAAGTCACAAAATGTAATTTACAGTAATATAAAACAGAAGAAAGCTGCAAATCATTTCATTTGAGGAGCTGGAAACAGTTTATATTTGACACTGTTACTTGATGAATGTACAAAGATAAATTAAACAGATAGATAACTTTTAAATCATTTTTCTTTGGATCAGCTACAATGCTGCGATTCAGGATTTCTTAATAACAGAGAATTAACTCAGACTAACTACCTGACTGAGAAAACAAACAGCCAGCACTTTTGCTGCTGTGTAAAAGTCGACACCCGTGCAGTTAAAGGGGCTTGAGAATGTTGTTTCAGGGGTGAAGGTGTGTTTGCAGATGCAAATCCCAGCACAAACAAACCAAATACAACCTTTTGGGGGGAGAAATTTCTGCCGTGATAACCTGGATTTGATCCCATTTTAACAGCTCGCCCTCTTGCTCTTTAAAGAAAGTCTTACGCGGTGATATTTTCTTTTCACTTCATAATCTGCTGTGTAAACTTTGGCTTTAATATGAAGTTGCTTGCTATTGACTTGCAGTGATGTTGTAATTTTGGAAAAGCTCTAACAGATGGTAGTCATTTATTTCAAGGTGTTTGCTGAGTTGGAGGACAATGCTGGGAGGAAGTCCAGCAGCGAAAAGGCGAATACCTGCATCTATTAATTCCTATTGTCTGACAAATGGATTATATCTGAGGAAAGACAGAAATCTAAAAAAACACGCCATCTTACCTGTGAGAACTAAAATCCAGTCATGAGATGGTTTGCAAACAAATCTCTCTAAGATATTGTCCTTCCTATCATCTATCATGGATGGCTCCTGTGCTGCAGATTCCCCTGATGCAGCAGACACCTCATGGAGCATCCGTGAAAAATGCTCTTGCGGCGCTAATCGCTATGAGCCAGGCTGACAAATGCCAGAGAAACCCCTGAACGCACGCACACAAAATATAAATCCACTGAAGATAAAGTTCGGGCTGATTCAGAATAGTTTTGGTTTGAGAGTTCGGTGCCCCGCCGGTCACCGTGGCGAGCCGTACAACCACCTCATTCACTTTAACCATAAAATAGAGGGGGATTTCCATCATCACATCATCAGCTTACTTATATTTCAATCTGAAGCTGTAAATACACCACGTGAAGACATTTTCTCTGAACACGTTGGTCATAAATGGGAGGACTGTGGATCTTCCAGCAATTACACAGGGCCCACTGTATCTGTAGGGGGGACATATCCCGTGTGTGTGTGTGGAGGGGGTGGGTGTTACTGACGGACACGGTGGTATGGACGGAGGCCCATTTTTCTGAAAAAGACTCCTTTTTCAGGGTAAGAGGGGACCACACAGAGCTCGGTGCTCTCCAGACGTCACCTGCTATCATTTGTCAGTGCTACCGATACATAAAGCCAGTTCTTTCTCACAGGCCTGCTGAAGCGGAACCATTCAGAGGTTTGCTTTCTGCCCTTACTGTTCTCCTGGAACAGCTCCATATTCGATGTGAGGTTGAGGTTTGACAAACAAAAGCAGGCTAATCTTCCCAGCCGTCCTCGTTAATGATTGTTAATAGAGGTCAGCTAACAGTGCTCACCACACTACTACTGAATACAGGCTGGTGATAATTGATTTAAAGGAGAACTGGGCTTAAATAGGCAAAGGCACCCGGCGACTCTGTAAACAGTGTCTGTTTTCACAAGCTCTTCACACCTATGTGTTACTTTCACAAGGTTTCGTTAAACACATGTAATGGACAACTGGCAAGGTAGGGAAAGCTATTAGTTTTCCCTTTTCATGCCCCTCACTGCGCGATCAATCCAGATCCACGATGAAGTGCGATCGGTTTGAATTAAATGCTGCAGGACCCTGCGATCACATTTCTGCTCCAAGTTTGTTTGGAAAGTAAGTTCAGCTGTTTGGCATGAAGCAATCATTTGTGGTATTAGAAAAAATTGAAAAATTGTGTTGGTAAAGCGTTTGCAGATATGCCTCTAGACTGAATTACTTTTTGGCAAAAATACATTTTGGCTCTTTGCTGGGTTCTTTTCTTTGAGCTGACAATTATTACCTTTTTTATTTTGGAATGTCAGAGCATTCCTTTAAGCCTGGATTGAATATCATTACCATTTATTCCTTCCATAGTTCTAACTCTTTTTTTTCTTTTGCATTTATCAGCGTATACATAGTTGTTGAGCGGATTCGTTTTGAAAAAGTGTGTCAATTCAGAAGAAAGTAAGGAAGAGCGTTTACTGCAGCTCTTAGTTACAGCAGGCTGTAAAAGCTGAAGACATTCCTCACTGAGGTCAGGTCATCAGAGTGTACGAAACCCAAGAGAAAAGGCGACTGACAGCAGACGCTAGTCAGGAGCTCTGCATACAGAGAGATGTCTGGTGTGGAGAAATTTGTAGGATAAATCATATAAAATTGTGATCTAAGGGCATTTTCAGTTTTTCCATCTTGATTCTTTCCTAAATGGGTGGCTATAATTTCCCATGTAAAGCTCCATGACTGACTCATTGCTGGTGTCTTGCATTTGAGATTAGCCTCCTTTCCGTTCATTTCCGAACCATGTCTCATTGTTGTTTTTTTTTGGTCTCCACAGGTTACTCTCCCATCTGCCCTCCATGTGACAATGAAATGAAAACAGACGCCATACTGGAGCACATGTGTGCCAGCGAGTTCAGTAAGCATCCTCCCATTATCTCCACAACACCGACTATACACAGTCGGATATGCCTAGACATGCACAACAGTGCTCCCTGAAATCAAAAGGACAGTCTGCATCTATTTTATCTTCCAGCTTTAGACTGTAAAACATCCTATAAATTGCTAACAAAGTATTCCAACCTTATTTATTTTTCTTTGCTGAAGTGCTCTCTGTGTCTGGCCATACTTGGTCATATTTGGTAATTCAATTTAATGTGAGGTTTTATCTCTTGGACAGACGCAGCAGACCTGTCTACTTTGGTGTAGGATGATGTTCTGTGACTAATGAATTGGGGGTCATTAAAGTCTTTACGTGGCAGGTCTTTGCTGCAGTAAAACGGGATGTTTGTTCTGCTGTCTGGCTGCGGCTGACTGTTTTACAGAATGCCTTCTGCACACAGGGTGCCGTCCACATTACGTCTTCCTCAGTGAAAATCTCTAAAGAATATCTATTCCAAATAAAAATGTTTTCTGATGGAATAAGATAAAGATCCTTTTCTTATACTTTTACGGACATTAGCTGTGTTTCCATAACATATTTTTATGTGCATTTTCAATTATTGTTTTTTAAAAACACAGATATTGAAAAACTTTCTCAAATTCTCAAAAAACAACAACAAAAAAAAGAGGCTTGATTGAGGTGTTTTTTCTTCAAAAAATAGTTAATGGCCTTAGAAAAGGTCCGACATAGCTCTTATTATTACTGATCCATGTCTTTTGTCGTCTTTGCTTCTGCATAGCAATAATCATATCCAATAAAGAAGAATAACAACTTGCACAATTGAAAACTAGATTTCACTCCTTTTTTTATTGTAGATGGTCAAAGTTTGTGTTTTTTGGTGGTCTGTTTGTCCATCTGTAATGTAGTCTACAGCGCCACCTTCTGACAACACTACACGGCCTGGTTTATTTGCTCTAAAGCAGTTGATATAAACAAGCCAAATTTACACTTTACAAAAAAATTTTTAAAAAGCAATTCTTTTCACCATCTTCGCTAACATGTTTAAAAGTAGTGAGTTCTGCTTAACGAATGATCAACGACACCTACATGTGAGAAGTGATGCGTGAGTCAGTTGAAATGATGTTTAAAAAGTAACTGTGGTCACTGATGAAAAGACATTATTCCACTATTTAACTGTTAACAACAACAAAAACAGAGAGTGGACCAACAAGAAAAGCAATGGTGCAAGTGGGACCTGTGCCCACGCCCAGGGCTCCACAGCTAACTGCCTGCTGCAAGGAAGCAAAAGACTTGCGCTGCTTATACTGAAAGGACAGAGGGCATGTTCTACTGTTGGAGCAGTTGACGTGGTGATCCCTAAGTACTTGCACATGCACTTTACAGCAGTAAGTGCAAGTTCTAATTCACATGGACGTATGTTTCCATTTCGACGTCTGTGAAGCTTCTCGTTGGCAGCACACCGCGTACATAGTTCCATCTCTATGACATTTTATTATTGAATATTAAATGCTTGAAATGTACGTCTTCGTGTAGACCAGACTTTACCTACCAGTGTAATGGGACTTTGGAGAAATTCCAATAATCAATATCACTTTCAGGCTACTACTGAAGACGTCAAAAGGGTTTAATAAATTTGTGTTGTGTGGCTTGATGCATTTGGATAGTTTTAAGGGAGAGAAAAGAGGTTTTAGAGGGAATATCGTTCAGTTTTCAACTAGAAATCGAAGATAAAACCCATTTGGTGCTCACTGGGATGTGTGGAGGCATTTTGAATTCACACCACAGATGAAAACAGGTCAGGCGGTTCTCAAACTTTAAAATATGCTGACGTTATGTTAGTTTGGCATTTAAATGCAGCATTGTAGGTGTCGTGACTGACCGTCTCATTGAATCTCCTGTGTGGTGCGGGACTGGACCATGTGTGTTGCATTTGAATTCTTTCAAACATTGTGTGTCACTAGTTCTTATTTGTTTGAACTTTATTTTGTGGTTTGAAAATATCGTTTCAACATTTTTCATTTTTTCATGAATAGTTTGTCAGGTGAAATGTTTTTGCCCTGAAACGTGACATGTCAGAAGCTGCCTTTATGTTTTATCAAGTCTGGTTTTGACAGCCGTATTTTGAGAGAAGCAGCCACACGTTTTTGAAAGCATATCATCTATGCTGAGAAGGGCTTATGAGTTTCACAGTCATGTTGGAAAGTTTTAGGTGGAACTGGATTCTTTTGGAATATTAACAAATCTAGAGAGCCATTTTTCTGAAAGGCAATTTGAGGAGATTTTCAAAGAAGTCAGGTCTTGTTTCTAAATTTCAGAGATGAATTTAAATTTGAGAAAATATTGTGTAACCAGTTTAAATATTGTTTTCATTAGAGTGCCTTAAATCTAACAGGAATTGAAACCAGACTGAAAACAATATGAACAAACGAGAGAGGAAGAGACGTACTAAGCTGTTAAGGCAACTTGTTTTAGTTGTGGAAATTTGGAAGTCTTGTCTGAGCAATCCAGTATGAGCTGTACGCGCTTAAAAAGGACATTAGTAACCTTGGATTTAATTAAAAACACAAACATCAGTTGAATTGTATTTATGAGGACTTCCAACAATAATACGTGCATGTTGCACACAAGATGTAAGATGTTAGGCTTTCATGTTTTATTCACTGAACCAAAACTTGTGTCAGCTTAAATTCCAGGTGCCATGCCGAGCAGACTTAAGCTGGATGCACATTAGAAACAGACTTTCTTCCAGTTCTCAGGGAAAAGTTTAAAGTTACATTTGTTTAACGAATTGCTTTAGTGTTTATGCTGTGGTGATGGAACTCGCCTTTTTTTCAGTCTGGATCCTGCTTTGCCAAGACAAGAGGGGCACATTATTGGCTTGTTTCATCTCAGATGAAGACAGATGTTGTTTTGCTTGCTTGTCATAAGTCCCCTAACCAGCTGACATGTGAGGATACACAGACAGATTTAGTGTTGGGCTGAGGATGAGACATTGTGCTGCTTATGTTGTTGACCCCACAAGGGAGTGACCTCGTGTGGAATGTAAGAAACCTCGCCGTTACTTCAGAAAGAGCTGATTGCGGCGGGTAAACAACTAATGCACAGCCAGACATGAGATAGCATCACCGCTTGTATCACCAGCAAGGCGAAACATTTGTTTGTTGCTTTTTCCAGCAGGCCGAAAGAATTCAGTTTTGGTCTGAGGAGAAAACTGCAAAAATAAATACATTGTACAGCAGCTGAGGCCAAACATGACTTAATGTCTTGTCTTGGGGAAAAAGAAAATATGCAGCCAAGCTTTAATCATGATGTGTTTTATCCACCAACGAAAGATAAGACTGTCCTCCTGATTACATTAGGCTAGTTTTGACTTGACTGAGAGTGGACGCTAGGTGATGGCATGTTTTAGGAGCCTATATTTTGAATCCAAGCTGCAGACAGGCCTGTCTGTTTTGCTTGGACTAAATAGATATGAGAGACATATTTCTCGCTGTTCTCTGAGCAACACAGGGACGGAAAACCATGACGAGGTTTGAGGAATGAATCAGGGACTTACACTGAAGTTTTTATTAATCTGCGCGGACCAATCATGTGTGAATTATCCTCACCCTGGCAGGGAAATTAGCATTTTTGTCCACTGAAAATCTCACTTACTGGAAGTTGCAAAAAACTGTTGAGCTAAAAGCATGAAATTGCCTTTCTTTGGGTAATAACACGCCCTGCGTAATTGCTTCCTATCTATTGCACAAGCACATTTGACTTTTCCATGTGGTTTGAAGTTGATAAAAGCAGAGAACGCTGCAGCAAGACAGCTTTTGACTTCAGGTTGTTGGATGTGGAGTTGTTCTGGCACAGGTGGAAGCATTCTTTTAAGTAACATGTGCGTTTTCAAGCTAATACATCAGAGTAAAAGTAACAAGTAACAGGTTCTCAGTACTTTTAGTTCCCTGAGTGAGGAGCGACACTCCCTAATTTCTCTGAAATCCTGACGATTGCGCCTTTTAACACACACACACACACACACAAATCCTATTTGCAGCACTCAGCTGGTAACAGATTTACAGCTCATCCCTCTCAACACTTTGTTCCCACCGCAATTTATCTCCGTGCTTAAGGTTTTACGATACCTCATTGTCCCAAAAAACTCCAGCACCCCTTCAATTAAACCTCTCCTGTGCCTCGGATGGCTCACTTTGTTGTCGTTGCCAAATTGCTCCTTCCCTTTGCTGATGCGGTAAACAACAGGGCAGCTCCGTGCTTGGAGGATAGATCGCTATGGCTTATCGGATCAGTTGTGTTTCCATCGTTGTGAATGGGGTGCAGTGCACACCTTCCTGCTGGGTTTATGACACCCTGAGAGCTGCAGGGTCCTGTCTGTGCGCCTCAGCTGACAGAGGAAACCAGGTCAGGGGTCAAGGACCACAGCAGAAAGGGGAATTTCCACCAAATTAACAGGTTTTTACTTGCACGGCCCAAGATCAGTGTGCATGCAGTGGACATGGATACCAATATCTGACTTGCTCCAGTTAAATAGGTATCTGAATTCACTATAAAGTGAAGTGACACTGTCCTCCTCCCTCTCCTGTAGCTGGAATTAGAGCTTTGTTTTGAGATTCAAAATGAATAAATACAAATACAGTGTAATGAAAAAGTAACTAAATTAGTTACTCAGGTTTTTGTTTTGTCAAATGAATGAACAATTATACATACAGTTCAGAGACGTTCCCTTCATATAAAACGTCTGTCTTTGACCCATATTCACTGTTTCCTTGTTGACGAGCATATGAATCAAAGCCTGACCTCCAATAAATATGCATTTTGGAATTCTGAATTAGATTATACAAGTTTGAATTGATAAAGACTATCCAATAATTCAGTCGAGGAAACTTTTTTTTTTTTTTTTTTTACCTTTTACGACAGTAGCTTCTTGTGACCATTAAAGTTTATCTTAAGACTTATTGTACAGATCCCAGTCCACAGATTAGGAACCACTGGAATAAATATCAATTTAAGCAAAAAATAACTCTTTATACACAGCAGCTGTTTTAAGAACATTCCATATGTGCAAGTAGCATTTTAATGTTGATCTGTGGAAGGAATTTCTAACTACTTTGTGCTCAGCTGCTTGGTAGTAAACTGACCAGACACCCAAACGTGAGGACTTTCTGCCCAGTTTTAAGATAAATGTGAAAGGTGATGAGATGATTATGAGGATAAGAACGAAATTCAGTGATTTTATTTTTAAATCAAATTCATGCTTTTTCTGGTGATTAAATAAAGGATGTAATTGCCCCCTTCAAATTAAACAAAATGAGAAGCGCAATTGGGGTGATTCTATTTTACTGAGTTTCACATTGGTGTGACTGTTGTGGGTCCGTAGGTCAGACTAAGTTCACACTCTCCACTGTGGTTGTTGGGATTTAAAGAAATGGGGTCACACAAAAAAGCATAGGTGTGTTACATGGAGGGGGATAAGGTTATGTAGGAGGTATCCCCGGTTGAAGACAAGTAATGCATGTAGCAAAGTGGCTGTTCCATGTGGCTCATTTACAGTCAGAGTTGACTTTGAAAATGGTTCATTTAAAGTCACTTTTGTTCTTTTTTGTGTTAACGCTGAGATGAACTTGCGTTAATTTCCCAGATATACACTGTCGTGTTCATTTTAAGGGTTGATAAGCTGTCTGAGAACCACTGGTCTCAGCTACAGCTCTGCACACATTCTCTAAGTTGGTTGTATGTTTTGCCCGTAGAATCGAATTCTGGTAAGCATTAGCAGTTAGATAAATAAAGTGAAGTGGAAAAATACAACTAGTTTGTGGCAGAAGATGGAAACACCCTATTTTAGTATTTTTAAAACGTCACTGAAGTTCTTGAAAGGTAGTTATTCGTCATGTTCTTGCATTCCCATATTACAGTATACTGGTAATTATTTCTATAAACATCACAACACTTATTTCAGCCTAGGTCTGGCCATATCTCATTCTCTATTCTGCTAGTACAATAGCTTTTGCAGAAACAACACCAAGTGCACTGAGCATTGTAGTCTGGCTTTGATACATCCTGTACAAGGAGATTAGGAGCATACAGGTGCAGCAGCAGTCACACTGAAGGCCACCTCCCGGTTATATTTTAATACTGGAAGTGAAAGTAGTTCCTCTCTGCTCTGTTGCACATTCTAATTAAGTGTGGTGACTTTTTGAGTCTCAGAAAATATGAAAGAAAAAACACAAACGGGGGCAGTTTGACGAAACACAGCCAAAGAAAAGACTTGTTGGCAATTATTTGATGTTAACTTCTTATTGTACACTGCTGCTGAAGAGATTAATCCCTCAAACAACACGAGGTGCAAAGAAAGTTCAGAGCGTCAAAGGATTATCAAGGATGGAGGATTTATCAAGATGAAGTCCTTTCAGGGGTGGGCCAGGCCTCTTTTATGACTCACTAATTATGAGTGCTGCCCATTTTGATTTCTCTGAACACTAAGCCTCCTCACTGAGACCGTTGGACGGAGGATAAAAGTCTTAATCCCTACCATGTGCACTCTTAATACAGGGGGAAAAAAGGGTGGCTCTTTATTAACACTTTAATTAGCAATGGAAGATACGGGTGCAAAGGGAGAGATGAAACATTAGGAAGCCTCTTGTAGTGCAAATTGAGGTTTTTATATCAAGCATGAATCTGATAAAAATGAGTCAAGAGGGACCAGGTGGGTAAAACTAGAGAAAATTAGACGGAAGTTAAAGTTTTTTCAGTTCAGATCTTTGCTGGAGTGTGAAAATGATTCATGCTCAATCAAGCTGTTCCCGGCGCTGCACTGAAGGTCACAAGACCGTATCTCCAGCATGACTCTGTGATTTTTCCCGACACCAGCTCTCTCAATTGGATCGGACGTAGTACGCAGCGCTTTGATTTTTTTTTTCTCTTCACTGCCGTGTCACAAGGTCGCCTGTGCCGCACACACATTGCTGTATGTCAGATGGAAAATGAATGGACATAATAAGTGCTGGCATATTGAGATTTGGACCACCAAAGTCTGACTCGTGCTCTGTTTCAAAGGAGGAACTGGAGGAAACACAGAGATTACAAGGTTAAATAGAGTTTAGTGAAAGATCAGGGGTATTATGGTCAATCTGAAAAACAGCCTGAGATTCAGAGAGAGGTTAAAAAAATTATAAGGAGCTGCTAATTCTGAACAGATATGCCACTTTTCTTTAGGGAAAACAGACTTAGACTGGAAGTTCAAGGTACAACATTATTCGCATTGTTTCTTTTCCCATGTAGGGGACGAGTAGAAACTTTTAGTGGCTTTGTGTATGATTGCTTTTGGTCTTTAATGACCAATAGTAATCATACCATGAATACATGGCTTTCGATATCTGGATTAGCATCAGACAATCTCTAAAACAGTTATTATTGCTTTTTATTTGAACAAATTCTTCTTGTCCTTTTGTGATCTGGTGCTTGGTTATTATACTTTCTGCTAATCTGTTACATCTGATAATGCTTTTTACTTTGCCATGGTGTTTATTAATTGACAGTATTTGAATAAGGTGTACAAAGGCCCATCTTGTGCATATAGTATAGGATCATATTTTAGTGATCGTAACCTCAATGGTACATTTACAATAAACTTTGCTGCATACGCTATGTTAAATGTTTTGTACTGCGTTTTCTAAATTCTGAAGTTTAAAGAATAACATGCGTTGACTTGCAGTTCCTTACTTTGGTAGAATTGGCTATTTTTTTTTCAGATCAACAATTTTTCAAAAATGCAATGTAGCCCAATCAATACTGGAAATTTTTAACCAACAGCATCATGTTTCATTTTGTTGGCGCACTACACAGAGGGATTACTGTGGATCTCTATGCCTTTGTGTACTCAAAAAGAATGAAGTAGGAGCTTTCTGAGGCAGCACTGTGCTTAGATCAGACATTTCATACAAGAAATTATCCACCTTTCAAAATAATGTCATTTTTTTTCTTCTTTTCTGTTTCCACTCCCACAGCCTTGAAGGCCAAGATCAAGGAGGTGAAACGAGAAAACATGGACCGTAAGGTGATCCTGCAGAAGAGGAAGAAGTTATTGAAAGCAGGCAACTTAAAGAAGAAGGACTTGAAGAAGCTGGTGTTGTATTTGAAGAATGGCGCGGACTGCCCCTGCCAGCAGTTGGACAACCTGACAAACCAGTATCTAATCATGGGCCGCAAGGTAGACAAGCAGTACCTCCTTACAGGCATCCACAAGTGGGACAAGTCCAGCAAAGAGTTTAAAAAAGCCATCAAGAAACTCAAGACCCACAAATGTCCTGCATTCGAGAACGTCTTCAAATAATATGACCGACCTCCAACCCCTGGTCACATCTCATCCTACATATGAACTTGCACAAGCATCCCCAAACTTTGCTTTCTATTGTCCTGTTTATATATCTATATATCTTTGTATATTTACAGATATACTTTGGAATGTCCCTTGTTAAGTTTTAGACGAATGCGGGAAGTGATAATGTCACAAATAAAAGAGTTGGGTTTCCTTTTATTTCTCTCGGCTAAAGAAAAGGACATTGTAGTAAAAGCCCTTCCTTGTTGAAATCATTTCCACCATATGTATGTACATACTTTGTGAAATTTTCCCTCTCCTCGCACAGGTCAGTGGATTGGTTGGGCATTTTGGGAAATACACTTACTTCCTTGCTTCTTCCTTGCTATGAGTTAGATAAGAAGATGAAACCACTTTCGTGTATAGTAAAAGCTAGACGCTAGAGCCAACAGATAGTTATTTTACCTTGCATACAGATTGTAGGTACGGGGCTGTAGCTAGCTTGCTTCTGTCCAAAATAAAACAAAAACAGTCAATTTTACATTTTGTTTCTTGTGTGTATTAAATAAATGAAATGTAAGAGGTTATTTAGTGAGAGTTTTTGGGTTAGTGACAAGCTAGCTCATTCCCTCTGCCTCCAGTCTTCAAACGAACGTAGGCTAACCATCTGCTGGTTAGCCAAAAATATGTCCAAATACCCTGTCAAAAAAAATATATCTCTTTCTAATCATTTTTAAATAACTCCTAAAATCAATGATTAGATTACAGAAATATGAGCTTTAAAAGCCACTCATAAGGTCCCTGTTGAATAACTTATTTACAAAAGTATGAGAGTGCTGTCGTTAGCTGATCACTTTGCCAAACTGAAGACTGCACTACCGGCAATGCAGAACATTTACTTTTGATTTCTTCATTTAATTGTTAAATGTCTTTTGTTACTTGAAAATCATAACAGAATTATAACAACCAATCTGCATTACGAGATAGTGTTTAGGCCGATTTCTTGATTTTGGCTATAGATTTTTTATTTTTTTTTTACCACCTTTCTTTCTCTATACATTCAGTCTGCAGTATTCATTATTCATCAGTAATGGAATGTTTAAAAGTGCAAAAGTTATCAAAGTGCAAATATTGCCAAATCTGTGTTCTGGTTTGTTTTGCTTGAGTGTCTCTGATCCGTTCTAGCACTATTTTGTTTCAGATTTGAATGTCAGCAGTGCATTGCTGCCTATTTCATGTACATACAAATTTTACATAAATATGGAAAAACTATACTGTGTCACTTATATTATTTACTTTTCTTATAGTTCTTTGGTCCATTGAAATATCTGAACACATAGAGGGTGGTCCTACACTACTAATAACATTTTCGTACATGTATTTCTCCAAACATTTCATCTTGCCAAAGCATCAGGCCAACATGCTGAAGCTAATGGATATAATTGCACAACCTCCATATGACATTCAGTTGACAAACACAGTAACAAACAAATGTGCTTCAGGATCCTAAAGACTGACAGTGGAAGTCACTTCTCATACCAGCATGTTAACATCGTCACTGAAAATGTTAACAAGCCTATGCCAGCATTACTTTTAGAAAGCCTAAAGCCTTCATTCTACTTAAGGAGAGACGTGGACACTACAAATATGTAGTTCCTGTCATTTGGCTAGTGTTGTACTTTCTGCATCCATGAACATGCTCTGCTAGGGTCTTTGTGGTGTACATTTTGCCATTTTTTTGGAAAGTCAGTGAGAGTCTGTATGGACAAACATATTTTCTGCATACAAAAGTGTGTAAAATGGTCCATGCAGACTGTTGTGGACTGTGGAAAATATGAAATTTCTGTCACATGGACCCCAGCAGAGCTTTGTGTAAAGTACAAAACTGGCCAAAGTGTAGCTTCAGAGAGCCGTTAGCTTAAGGCTGAATTACCAAATAGGCAAACTCCCATCTCTGGGTTTGAAAGGGTAATGGTTGTCAGCTAATACGCTCCATTAATGGACAATAAAAACTGATATGATATGGGGCTCCAGCAATTTTGCTAAGAATCTCTAATTCCTAAAAAGCCCCTGTGTCAAAATCTAGTTTAAAAACATTTCAGACTTCAGTTGACCGCAATACATTTGTGCTTTATCAGATCATTACATAGTAACTCATATTTACTGAACTTTCCACGAGGATAAAACAAACAACCAAAAAAAAAACAGCCTGCTTCTAAAAGCAATTGCATGGTTAGTGGGTTTGTAGCAGTTGTATCTATGTTGGTTACTTGTAAACATTTGGTGTCTTGAAACTGTCTTGCAAAGACCATGAAATTTCCTATCTTGATGTAAGCCCTTATTTTGGCCTTTGCATGGGATGTGTGATCCTGTTAAAACAAAAAGGAGCAACAACTGCCAAAACAGCCACCTCTGCTTTGATAGTTATGCCAAACAGAACTCTGCCAAACTATCATTTTCACGCTTTAAAAAAAAAAAAAAAAATAAAGCATAGTGTTGCCAGATCTCCACACCAGAGGATCTCTCACGCATGCATGTGCATCTCTTGAATGATGCTAAATACTTGTCTGGGTGTCTTCGGACTCAGGCTCATTGTGGTTTCGCAGGCTGTTAGTGTCTCGGTATGTGGCGTGTAAATGCTAATCCTCAGATATACATCATTAGCAGCTCATGCTGATAGTGAACTATAATGCTTTCTTAGCCAAAGGGCAGCGCTGTCTAATCAACTGTCAAATTTAAAAGAATTGTTTTCACAAAGTCTGTGTTGATGGATACAGTTTCCACGCTGAACAGGCATGATTTTCCCATGTCATTTCATTTAATTTATGGACGTAACATGCAAGTGTGCACAGCATCCAAAAGAATCACAGAGGCTGCCTGTGTTTTTCCTGAACAAAAAAAAAACACAGATCTGAGCAGCTCGATGATAAATGTTTCAATGTAAATGCTTTTATGTGCTGAAATCCATCATGTCAGTACAACATACGTAAACAACAAAACATGAGACCATTCTGTCAATAAAAAGCCTTGTTAAAAACCAGGAAGTATCAAACGGACCAACGTCTTGCCCATCTGGTTTCAGTAATGGCTTTGGTATTGGAAAATATATGTCAGATGTGGACTTTGCTTTCTAATCATTACTTCAGCTGCCTTCAAAAGAGGCCCAGAAAACCTGGGGCCAAGCTCCAGCTTTGTCCTATTAAGAGATGATCTGCAAAAAACATCCGGTTGTATTCGTCGTCTCGCTGAAAACCTCAAATTGACAAAGCTGATGAAGTACTGTTTTGATTGGTTCCTCGTCAGAGGCCAGGAAAGTATTCAATTATCCCTCCAGTATTATTACCACACACATGATTTCAGTCTGTGTGATAAGATGCACTAAATTGACAATCGGAAAGTTTGACTGGATGGAGAGCTTTCAGTGATATGCGCCTTTTATGCTGATGACAGCCTACACTTCATTCAGAGCACATTGTCTGCTCAAGAGCCAGTTAATAATAGTTGTAATATCATATATACATATATACATAAAAACAACGACAATGGGTCATTTTCCACTGCAGACACTTGATTAAGGTCAGGGTAAAACATTGTGCCTGCTCTGCCTGAAGGAACAATTCCTGTAGAACCTCTTTGAGGGCCGTTTTCACGGGGGAAAAAAACAAAAACAAAAAAACACTCCAGGATAGGTACCTCTGAGCAGCCCATAAAACCTGCTGTGCCTGAACGCTGATTGATTAAATGTGCAGAGAGCAACAAGTGGCAATTTTATGCCCTCTCAATGTCTTTGTCAGACAGTGGTCCTCTCCTCTCTAACCTTGCCATCAACAACCTAAAATTCACCAGTCAGGCAAAAATAATAACCCTCTATCATCTATTTCCTACCAGCTCATAAAAATTAAGTAACATCCAGTAATTACCATTTGTCGTTATTTTGGCACACTCGTAGTGGTTGTGGCAGACGGATCCTACTCTACAAGAGCAACAGACAGCTTGAAAAACCCAATTAAAGGACCATTCCTGCAAACATTTGTACAATGTCATGCATGCCCCAAGTTCCTGCAATGGAGAGCTGCCTAGCACATTAGACGATGACGGTGATGACGGTTTCCTGCAATGAAGAATCCACAGAGAATTATCACCCAACTACACTTCTTTTTTGCCCAGTTAGGCATTTTTGTGTCTTTTACCTCATTATTTTGGGTTTACTGTTTTGATTCACTCGCACTGCTCTCTTTGTGCTAAAAACCTGTAAACTGTTTGTCAGCATAAAACAACACAAGTTTACTAGTTAGCAACTTTTTGTTGAATAGTGGTTCATTAACAAGCTAATAGCACGACTGTTAATGTTGCTTTTTGTTTGTTGGATAAGTAAACAAGCTATTCTTTAATTGTTGTCTGAATAATTTATCAATGTTAGAGCTGAATGCTACGTTTACCTTGATCCAAAATACATCCCCAAAATACACTTTTATTTTTTGACGATTGTCACAACAATATTTTCTCTCTGTTTAGTGCATTTTATTATAACTGATGGAGTTTGCGTTTCCCGCCAGGACTAAATTACAAAGTCAATCCCAGTGAGTTAAGAAGAATACACTGGACAAATGCAGGTGACAGATGTTGAGGCATGAGATCAGATCATGAAATGGAGAGCAGTCAATCACACCTCTCTATGAATGCCAGAATAGCTTGATAGCCCCCCTGGAAGCTAGAAGGGTCGCGGTATGGGTCAAGTCAAACGTTCACCTCAAATAAATTCTTCCCAGATATAGTTTCTGTCATATTAAGTACTTCACATGAAACTGATCTCAGTTCAAAGGCTCATTTTTCTGATCAGTTCATTTTTTTGTTCGTTATTTGATTTTAGAAAGAAGTATGTGTCATTATAAAGCAGTTGTGACGACACCTCAGATCCTCTGTTCAGGAAATGTTAATAAGAATGTGATGGACTGCTCCTTTCTTTGACTGTGCCATTTATTGTCATCTTTTTCAAACCACAAAATGAGTTATTTTGCAATTAAATGTACTGTCTGATTTTTTAAAGTGTCAGGAGCACCATTGCACTTTTTTTTGTCAGTCAAGATTGCGTTTTGTTAATTCTTACCGAAAAGCTAGTAGAGAGCACAAGTCTGTGGGAAAATGTAGCCAAACAACAAGCAGATTAATAATTTTTACTAAAATGATATGTGTACACGTATCCTTGTTAGTCAGAGACAGTCAAGAATATGTAACACTAAGTACCTTTATATACAATCCATTGTTCACAATATGGCATATTTTATTCCTGATTAAAGAACTAACATGTTTTAATGTGATTTTTTTGCAATAATAGAAACAAACAATAGAGTTTCAATTGTACACGTTTATTAGTGTTAAAACATTTTCTGCACAGATTCAAAAATAATCCTACTAAAGCTCTACCACCCTATTATTTCAGAAAACACAACTTCACAAAGACATTTTGCAACCTCTGGGATCACAGGGAATGTTTTCTCTGACTAATAACTCCATACCAGAAGAGGCTCTAGTTACCTCTTCCTCCCCTCTGTGTTTCAAAGACACATCTGGGGAGCTTTTGGACAGCACTGTCTGTTTAAGATGCAACTCCACATCCTCACATTAACAGGAGGAAACAATAAAGTGTTGTTAAGACTTATAGCGCAAATATTTGGCAGCAAATAAGCCGTCGTAACGTAACTTTTTTTTTTCCCTTACCAAATGTTTCGTTTTATGGATATGTGAACCATGGCAGAGCCTTGAGGTTTTGAAAAGTGAGGCACCTCTCTGTTCTTAATCCATGTATGTGCCTTCAAAGCTGCTGCCATTTCCCCCAACTGCTATAAAACCATCCTTTGTATTTAATGGTATAGCTGTATACTCTGTTTTATGGTGCACCATCAGTAGCCAGCAACTTAAAAGGGTCATTTTGGAGAATTTTGTGTGGGCAGCTCAGTCAGCCGAAATAATACACTGTAATAAAGCTGGGACATGTATACAAATCACATTTAGATGTACCATTAAAATGATTTCCTGTAGCTACAAATATGAAATACATCCTCTTTAACACAGTTTGGACTGGAGTTTGAAATTCTGAAAAGTGAACATTGGCCTGACTAGAACTTCAGAGTGTGTGACTGCATAAATTTACAGTCATTTAAATACACAAGTGTTTTTTTGGCTGTCTTGGTGACCCTGAGCTACAGAGCTAACTGTTAATGTCTCTGGCTTGTCTGCAGATTTCAGGAAGAAGGATGAGTCGGCACACGGTG